TCCCAATATTTATAAAATGCATTCATAAAAATAAAAAATTTAAGCACGAGCTTAATTGTTGATTCTATATATCAAAGGAAAAACAATATAGTGAATGATTGAAAAGATGTATTTCAATTAAGTGTTAGGAGTTTCATGGACTGGAAGGTATCTATCAACTTGCTAAGTAGTTTGAAATTCCATTGTGTCCTAATTGCCCATTTAATTCTTTGAATACAAATTAGCAATTAACATTACAAATAATCAAGGTAAAATGTAATTTAAAAAAGTTTGACTTAGCTATAATTAAACTAATTACATAGATATGTCGCATAACAAATGTTTCTCAGACTGTTATGGAGATGTAATTTTTTTCTTCCTTTTCAAGAACAGATATTAGAATTGTATTTTCAAATTATTTTAAGAGATGGATGTAGTTTCAATGGAGAATAGTCAATCTTTCAAGAATAAAATTAAACCACATATTTTGTTACACATTGAGTTTCTGATTATTTTGAATTTTAATTAGAGAAGGTAGGAAAAAACCACCAATTTATTGATAAAAACCCTTACTTCTATCACTGCTGAAAACAATCAAGAATGTAATATTTGATAGCTATTTATTCTTTCACTTCTATACAACAGGAATCCCTTCCAGAATTCTAAACACGATATCCCATTCCATTTACACACTTACTTGCCTGATATATTTTGTTTCCTATCTTAGAGAAAAATTAGTATCAAATGCTGAATTTTTATCTTTTGGAATAGACAAACAGAAGCACAATTTTATTTTCTCTCCATAGATATTTTGTAATGTTAAGAGACAATGTGGATAGCATAAAATATTAACATGTAGTTAAAATTTGAAGTTCCCAACTCTGAGTTAGAAAAAAAGTTCTTAAAAATGGTGTCTGGGGGCTTGAGCAATAGCACAGCAGGTAGGGTGTTAGCCTTGCATGCGGCCGACCCGGGTTTGATTCTCAGCATCCCATATGGTCCCTAGTATTTGCTCCAAAGCCTGCTGGTAGTAAATCCTGAGCACAGAGAGAGGAGGAATCTCTGAGCATAGCCACGTATGACACCCCTATCCCCACCCAGAAACAATAAAAAAGACTAAAAGACTGATTCTATGATTCACAGGAGATAGACCATGATATCAAATACAATACCAGGAACTTGGTAAATGTCAGACCATGTACAGCAAGACACATTTCCTATAGGTACTTCAACAACATATATTTTTTAAATGATTATATAGTTAAAATGAATTTTTCCTTCAATAAATGTCTCATAGTGTGAAAAACATATCCATATGGGGCTGGAGCAATAGTACAGTGGGTAGGACGTTTGCCTTGCACATGGCCGAGCCTGGTTCTATTCCCAGCATCCTATATGGTCCCCCGAGCACCGCCAGAAGTGATTCCTGAGTGCAAAGCCAGGAGTAACCCCTGAGCATCACCGGGTGTGAGCAAAATAAAAGAAAAACATATCCATATCAAGAGCTTTTCAATACTGAACTGAAAATAAAAAGCACGGTGCATTTGCTCTGCCAACCCTCCATGTGAAGTTAACCTCTTGTCAGAGATCCTCAGAGTCATTTTTCAATCCAGAAGCAGATTCCCATCCCTTCCATATGATGCTAGAAGACTCCATCTCTGATGCCCTCTGCTATCTTCACAGGAGGGCATCTCTAAATCTCTTGAACCTTTACTTCTCCTCCACACTTCCAGGTGAGATTAGCCTCCAGGCTGACATCCCCTTCCAAAAGTGATTCCTCTCCCGTCCAGGGGCTTCCAGTAATCTCCACGACTCCATCTATCATCTCAGCAACCTGCTCTACATCTCCTGCTTTATTCATCAAACACCAAACAGCTTGCACTTAATCTCTCCCTCACTAAGTGAATACAGATAAAGAAAGAAAAGAGAAACATGCATTTAAACACCTCAGAGACTACAGGGGGCTAACTACAAAAATTCACACTTAAAGAACAAAGCAAACTCTATGGCAGACTTGTGAAGAACAATACCAAGCTCAAAGAGTGAAAATAATAACATGGAGGGTTCTACCATATAAATTAATTTTGTAAACTCTCAGAGAGTATCTTAAGTGACAGAATACTGAAAATGCTAAATAAGTTCAAAGACAGGATGGCACAGGTAGTTGAAGTAAAAGAAAGTAAAGGTAAAGGTAAAGGCCCTCCCGTTGTTCATCGATTTGCTCGAGTGGGCCCAGTAACGTCTCCATTGGAGACTTTGTTGTTACTGTGTCTGGCATATTGAATATGTCACGGGGAGCTTGCCAGGCTCTGCCGTGCGGGCGAGATACTCTCGGTAGCTTGCCGGGCTCTCCGAGAGGGGAATCAAACTCACGTTGGCCATGTTGGCTGCGTGCAAGGCAAACGCCCTACCGCTGTGCTATCACTCCAGCCCATAAGAAAGTATGAGAGTAAAAAATTATAAAGTTACATTCAGATATTACAGAAACAAAGAATATGGTTCAGTGATACAAAAAATGCAATAGAAGGTCTGAGCAGCAGAAAAATAGCAACTGAGGAAAAGATCAACACCTTCAAGAGGAGATACAGGGCACCTTTAGAAAACAGAAGATGAACAGTCTAAGAACCATAGGAGTCTGAAGAAGAAGACAATTTCATTTACGAACCACAATAGTGGTTTAAATATAAAATCCATAGCTAGGAATCAACCTAGATGTTCAACCAAGATGTCCAGGCACAGTGGATCATGAAGATGTGGTGTAAATGCATAAAGGAATAATTGCTGTAAAAACGATGAAGTCACATAATTTGCAGCAACATGGATGGAACTGGAAGACATCATGTTAAATGAAATGAGTCAGAGGAGGTCGATCACAGGATGATATCACTTATATGCAGTGTTTAGAATAACTGGATGAAGGAGTACAAAGTTTAAAAGGGTTGATTCCAAGATCAATCTTGGCACCAAAGTATAGATCAGAGAAGGAAGGAAAGTGGAGGGGAGGGGGAGAAGAGATAGATGAGAAACAACAGAGGTCAGTTCAAGGTAGTCAGTTTCAAAGCTGGTATTAAGGAATAATTGAGCCAAATAGCAAACCGCAGTCAACAACACTGAAATCAAGAGACCCAATATTTAACAACCTTTCTCAGAAAGATGCCGGTCAAGAAGGGGGATATGAGAGGATGAGGCAAAAATTGGTGGTAGAGAGAAGTTGATACTGATGGTATGCTGTGATATTGTATATCTAAAATAGAACTTTGTAAATCACGATCTTTTAATAATTAAAAAAATACCTAATAATTTCCTATAGTTGAGGAATTCAGGTACCAAGATCCAAGAGGTTAGAAGGTACTCAATGAAAAGAGACTCAAATAGCAAAACTTCAGGATATAATATAATCAGAATATCAAAAGCCAAAGATAGAATATTAAATGAAGCAAGACCAAAAACTAAATTTACATATAATGGAAAGCTGTAAGATTCACAGAAAATTTATCAAATGAAACTCTAAGTGAGAAGAAGCTAATGGAATATAGTAAATAAATAAATACATTCACCAAGAATACTGGATTGTTATGAGCAGAAAACAGTTTACAGAATTTATAGGCATGAAATCAGTTTTTGCAAGAAGCAGTGAAGGAATTTTTTTAAACAATAAACTGTCATCACATTTATTTTTTACTGAACCAGTTGGTATGGAGACAACAACTAACTCAGTATGCCTCTTAGGTTATCTCTTCTGTTATTTAAATGTGATTTTCTTCTTTTAAAAAATTTAATTAAAAACTGTGATTTACAACAGTATTTGTATAGTTAATTGAGTTTTAAATATACAATGTTCCCTTTAAATAAAAGACAATTTTTTCAACACTTTGTCATTAAGTATGCCATTCTCACAGTGCTTCTGGTGGCCTTCTGTGAGATTAACAAAAGTCTGTTTATTCCAAGTATGCTAAGAATTTTAAACTTTTGCAATAATTAAATTTTCAATTATATTGAATATCCCATGCCTATTCAGGTGATTTAATTGCAACAACATTTTTACTACTGTTCTCTTACTTATTAATGCAAATACTTAAGCATAGACCTTAAATAACATTTTCTAACATAAAACCTATACTCTTTTTAAGATAAAATGCAAGTTCATGCTTTTATATTCTACTCCTATTGTACCTAAAATTTAATGAGATTTCAAAATCTGTAATCTCAATAAAAATGGTAAACAAAGAGTAGGGTATAAAATCACATTAGGAACATCCTAATGGGATGTAGAAGAATAACATTACTCAGTTATTAACTCAGTGTTAATCTTTAGAAAATATCTATGATTTATATCATATTAATTTAAATCAAATATCATATTAATTGCTGTCACTTATTAGGAAAAGAAACAAAAAGCTTTTTTTTAAATTATTTTTAAATTATTATTATTATTTATTTATTTTATTATTTTTGTTACTTGCAAAAAGCAAATAACAAATTCAGTCTCCAGAGAGGTTTAGAACTTGAAATTTCTTCTTTGTAAAACAGAAGATATTAATACTAATTTTTATAGGAAGAAGTGGCCGCCAACTAGATAAGGAGATGTGCCTAAGCACTGCCAGTTGGAAGGCACAACCTGTAAAGGCCATTGAACTCACATGTGTTCTGAGGACTGGCATGCATGATTTGCAAGCTAGAACACTGAGTTTGATCCCCATCACTAAGTGGTTTCCCTGAACACCTCCAGGAGTGACCTTCAAACACCAAATTTGAAATAGCTGGGGATTTGAGGGACAATGGAGGGATAATAGTCAAGCAAAAAAGTAACTTTTTGTTTAATGATTATCTCTCTAGGAGCAAAACTGAGATTAACTAAGGGGTGGTAATGGAAGGGACTGCTTCCCGCCATACTTCACTGAGGGGGATGGTGTGCTGAATTGTATCCCTAAAGCATTAACAGTCAAATTTTTGTTACCAATGTTACTTCAGTAAAACTATGCAAGTGAATCAAATAGCAAAGATTATAATCTTGACGTTACCCCATGGAAGTTCTGATGACAGCATGGCCTGCGGTGGGAGAGATATCTCCATTTAACATTTTGAATGTAGTGGTTTTCCCAGCTCCATTTGCTCCTAGAAGTCCAAAGCACTAGGAGGAAAAATAAGTTAAATGACACAATAAAAATCATGAGTAAAAGTACTTTGGGGGGGGCAACTATGAGCTAATATCTTTTATTTATGACATTTACAAAGTTTTAATGCCATACAATTGAATAAAGGGATATTTTTGCAATTATAATGGAATTTTGAGTACTGTGATAATATCAGCATTAATTCACAAATGTGTGAATTAATAATGGAAATAAGAAACAAAGGGATAAAAAACTAAATGTTAACTATTACAATTGATGCTCAGAACTCATCTCATGCTGGTTCCTTAACGATGTTCTTTTGATGAGTATAATTTTTTCCTTAAAAATCTTATTAAGGAACTATAATTTACAAAACTATTTATAGTTTCAGAAATACAATGTTTCACACCAATCCCATCACCAGTGTCAACTTTCTTCAACATGACTCTTCTTAATCCCCCAGTCCACATCAATTTGTTTCCTTTCCTATCATTCTCAATTATATCATCTGACATTTGTCTTTCAAAAAAATGTAATAGGAACACACCAAAGGGTTAGTCTGTTTCATGTAGAGGCCTGATTGATATTTAACTTGGATGTGTGGTGCTCAGGTGTTGGTACTTAGGAGTACATAAGGGAACAAGGATTGAACTAGGAGCCTTTCTAATTGTAAACACATGCTATATTATCTGAGCTGTCTCTCTGACCCAAGTGTAATTTATCTAGTAGTCACATTATCAAATCATTACTTACCCCCATTTCACTTTACTATGTATTTTAAAGTACTTTATAAAAGTGTTCTCTACTCTTTTCTTTCTTTAATAAAGACTGAAGGCTAATCTTAATACTTGTTTTAAGGGGGTGTATACTGGGGAGATTGGTGGTGGGGAATGTGCACTGGTGAAGGGATGGGTGTTTGAACATTGTATGATTGTAACTCAAACAAGAAAGCTTATAACTGTATCTCATGGTGATTCAATAAAATAAAATTTAAAAAAGAAAAATAAAAAATGACTATACACTTTGATCTCATTCCAATTGTATCTTATATTCTATGTGAAAGTGGTCCTGTGTTTTCTTCTTTACCTACTATCTTCTAAATCTCTTACCTATAGAGTTTATGATAGAGGCTGTCTTTCTAACTCCTTCCAAAGCATGTTATTTTCTAGTTCCTCATGTTTGTGAAAATGACTGGTTTTGGAATCACTGTTGCCATGTTCTATCATAGGTATTCAATAGGTATTGATCATACATCTGGATACAGTCACATCCTTGAATTTCAGCCTGCTTCAATATCCATGTTTCCACCAACTTGACAAGATCTCTCCCACGATCTGATTCATGGACCCATCCTACTCCTTATCAATAATGCCCAACCTCATTCCTATAAAACAGGATACTTGAGCTTACTGCTCCAAGCTGCAGCACCATCAAAAAATACAAACTGCATGTATCTTTTAATTCTTTACCTAGGTATATATAAATTTACCTTTTAAATAAAGTTCACTTATACTGTCTGTTGTTCTCTCACCCTCCATCCCTCAGATAGTCCCAGGCTTAGAGTTGTAAGGTCTTATCATGCATGCCTTTTAAACATGCATTTCCTCATGCAATTGTATAGCACAGTATGATTTGATTTCCTACCAGGTGACTAATACTGAGATCTGGTGCATATTTTCATAATATGTCTCATCTACATGTTCTTTTAGAGCAATTCAGAAAGCTAAACTTTAGTGCTTATAAAATTCTAACAAGTAGATCCAAATATAAGGTTATAACAAACATCTTAGATAGATACCTAGATTTTTTTCTTATCAAATTTTCCAAGTTTCTCTCTGAACCATTAACTACAATCCATCAACATCAAACTAAAATTGATTTTTTAAGTAGCATAAAAATTAATATGATGGTAGGTAAAGGTAAAGGCCCTCCCACTGATCATCGATTTGCTCGAGCGGGCCCACTAACATCTCCATTGGAGACTTTGTTGTTACTGTGTTTGGCATATCGAATACATCACGGGGAGCTTGCCAGGCTCTGCCGTGTGGGCGAGATACTCTCGGTAACTTGCTGGGCTCTCTGAGTGGGGTGGAGGAATCGAACTCGGGTCGACCATGTTGGCTGCGTGCAAGGCAAACGCCCTACCGCTGTGCTTTATTAAAAATTTAACATGTTTGCCACTCAAAGCCTCTTTTGCAGACCACAACATCCAAAAGGAGAGAGAGAACACAAGGGATCGCCCTGCCACAGAGGCAGGGTGGGATGGGAGGGATGGGGGTGGGAGGGATATTATCCATCGTGGTGGAAAATGGGCACTGATGGAAGGATGGGTATTTGATCATTGTATAATCTAAACCCAAGCACAAAAAATTGTAAATCTACAACTGTACCTCATGGCGTTTTAAAAAAAATATATATATATATAAATTTAACCATGATCCTGAGAAATAGTACAGCAAGTAGAACATTTGTCTTTCACATGACCCAAACTGATTCAATCCCTGGCACACCATATGGTCCCCTGAGCACTTCCAGGAGGAATTCCTCAGTGCAGAGCCAGGAGTAAACCCTGAGTATCACCAGAAGTAACCCAAAAACAAAAAGAAAAAAGTTCAACATGAGCAACATTTACAAAAACTTCCTTGTGTACTGTCATATCCAATTCAACCACCACAATGCAAGATCTGTGAATATTCCAATAGTGATTTATATTAAACTTTATTCAAAATATGTTAATGCTGGAGCGATAGCACAGCGGGTAGGGTGTGGGCTGGAGCGATAGCACAGCGGGTAGGGCGTTTGCCTTACAAGCGGCCGACATGGCCGACCCGAGTTCGATTCCTCCGCCCCTCTCGGAGAGCCCGGCAAGCTACCGAGAGTATTCGATATGCCAGACACAGTAACAACAAAGTCTCCAATGGAGACGTTACTGGGCCCACTCGAGCAAATCGACGATCAACGGGAGGGCCTTTACCTTTACCTTTACCTTTACCAAAATATGTAAAGATCTATTCTCCCCTCATAGTCATAGTCAGTCAGTCAACATGTGGATGCCAATTAAACAAGGGTATAAACTGCTTTGCATTTCTTAGGTGTTTGGAACAATAAGAATGTGATTTTTATTTTTAAAATAAGTTAATTAAAGGTAATAATTTCCAGAACTGGTTTGCAACTATGAGTAAAGTACAAATCAAGAACAATTTATGTGACTTCTGACAGTTCTAATTGAACTTTTCTACAAGAATGAATGTTATAGTGAAAATAATTATGGCATCTGAGTGTTCTTCATATTCCCTTCCAGCATTTTCCAAGATTAATTATCTTGTAAAATTAATTATCTTAATTAATTAATTAATTTTTTGGGGAAAAGTCAAAGAATTGAAGTAGTTTTATAAATTAATTAGATTTGAAAAATTGTCACTGTCACTGTCACTGTCCTCCCGTTGTTCATCGATTTGCTCGAGTGGGCCCAGTAACATTGTGAGACTTGTTGTCACTGTGTTTGGCATATCAAATACATCACTGGTAGCTTGCCGGGCTTTGTCGTGTGGGCAAGATACTCTCGGTAGCTTGCCAGGATCATTCCATAGCCCAAACTATAATTAAAACTCTTCACAATACAAATATTTAAAAATATTGAAACAGAATAAACTTCATCAATCAGCAGAGTTTTCACTAGAGAAATAAATAATAGACTCTCTACTAAGATTCTGTTTCTCTTGATTTGACAGAAATTCCTGAAACATTGAGTATTTCTTATGTAAGATATTCTGAAAGTAACACAGACAGGTCAACAATTAAGGTCACACAGGGTTACAACAACAAAGGTAAAAATTGTAGCTTCTTTACCTCTCCTCTCCCTACGCCCAAACTAATATCCTGCACAGCAGTGGTCCTTTTCAGGAAGCCTTGGTAGCTCTTACTGAGGTTACATAAAACAAGGATGTCGCCCTCAGTTCTTCCTTTCAGCACTCTCATTTGTTCTTTCTCAACATCTATATCCTTAGAAGATGTGACTGTGCCTTGAAGGTTGGAGTGACCTCTGAGAAGAAATAGTCAGAGTAAATTTACACTTGGAAAAACAGGACCTCAAGAACCCAGAGAGAGAAAAAAAGCAGGTCTGTCAAAACAAAGTATCAGAGGCAGCAGCAGTTTCTTTCCATGTATTGGAGTTCTGCATCTTGAGCATTAGCCAGTAAGAGATTAAGAAAATGTGGTATGCCACAAATCAAAGAGCTGTCTTTTGAGTTTGTGAATCACAAATTAATGAAAAACTTATGAACTAATAGTCAAAAGAAAGTATCACAGAATTATTATAAGGAATTACTTGACCAAGCACTCAACAAATTGACCATTGAATAAAATATATTCTATCAATGTGTTAAAATATAAAAATCACATAGCATTCATTGAATTTAATAAAAACACTATATCACATGTATAACATACTTTATCAGAACTTTTAGATGAGCAGAAGTATAATTTTCAATGCCAATTTACTGAAAATATATAGGATGTTTCCATTTTAATACTTAAGATTTTCAATCATGCGTTTAAGTTTAATTAAATTTATATTTCTCTTACAAACTGTAATATACCAACAGTTTAACAATTAAATAGAGAGATCACCATCAGATCACTAACCAAACAGCATCAGTTTCCTGGTTTTGTAATTTGCTAATGTGACATAGTACATTATGATTTTATATTAGAAGACTGAGGTAATAAGAACATAGGAAATCTGTGTATTTTGTATTTCATCAATGACATTCAGTTATTTTAATATGAAATATATTCAAAATAAATTAAATACCCACAGAATTTCAGACATTCTATTATATTTTCATTGTATTATCTTTTTCATATATAAAGTTACTATTTAACCAAAATATAATTCACTCAATAGCATGTGTTTCTCCTGCTTCCAAGTTTGTACCCAAATTACCTACATTAGTGTATCTAACACTCTCCTCTTAGGGCTTATTTGGGAAGTTTTAGAAATAACCTGTTTGTTCCAATTAATAAAAATGTCTTTTGGGGCTGGAGCAATAGCACAGTGGGTAGGGCGTTTGCCTTGCACATGGCTGACCCGGGTTCGATTCTCAGCATCCCTTATGATCCCCTGACCACCGCCAGGGTTAATTCCTGAGTGCAGAGCCAGGAGTGACCCCTGTTCATGGTGAGGTGTGACCCAAAAAGCAATAAATAAATAAATATGTTTTTTTTATTTTGTGTGACTCAAATATGAGCGTTTGTTTAATGCCAAATCACCCATGGGACAATTTAATGAGGTTCCTTCTTTAAATGGTGTGTTAGGCCATATACAACAATGCTCAGAGATTTTCCCTGGCTCTGTGCTCAGCTCTTACTCATAGCAGTGGTCACAGGACCATATTAGGTGCTAGTGATCAAAATGGTGTCACTCATATGCAAGCAAGTGCCTTACACACTGTGCTATCTCTCCGGCAAGAGGTTCCTTCTTGTTAAGCTTTTAAAATATATTACTACATTCTTAAACTTTTCTCAGAAATGTGCTAGTTAGCCATCTTCCCACTGACAACCCCAAGTGACATCTATATTAAAGAGAAATAATTCTTATGGGTATTAAGGGTTAGCAATACTTCTCAGAGCATCAACACAACTGATATAAGAAAAGAAGTACTCTCCTAGACCTGCCAGTATTCAGGTACAGAAAACATAGTCCAGCTCAAGCCAGAGAGATAATGTGTAAGATCTTTCCCAAATCTACATAACCTGGTGTTATTTGGCCAGGGCTTAGATTCTGAGACCTGAATGCTTCACAATCAGTCAATGGCCAACACAAAGGCATGTTTTCAGTTTTGTTGACTCTGTGAAAATATGAGATTTAAGCTGCAACACTGAAACTTTGTAATGTGCTAGTCCACTTGATAAGCAGGGATGCGGTATGGATTGGGATGGGGAGAGAATATGGGAACACTGGTGGAAAAATGTTGACATTGGTGGTGGGATCAGTATTGAAATATTATAATGCCTAAAACACAATTATCAATAACTTGAAATCACAGTTTCTTAATTTAAAAAAAGCAGAAATAAAGAAAAAGAAATACTTGGGGGGCGAGTGATAGTACAGCAGGTAGGGCATTTGCCTTGCACAAGGTCTACCCAGGTTCCATCTCGGCATCCTATATGGTTCCTTGATCACTTCCAGGAGTAATTCCTGAGTGCAGAGCCACTGAGCCTCACTGGTTGTGAACCATAAAGCCAAGAAAGAAGGAAGGAAGGAAGGAAGGAAGGAAGGAAGGAAGGAAGGAAGGAAGGAAGGAAGGAAGGAAGGGAGGGAATAGCCTATCTCCCCAACCCTCACCATCTAAACTACTCAAAAAAGAAACACACACACACAGACACACACACACACACTTTTGACATAATCCTCATTATAACAGTTATCAATAAGAATGTGGCACAAAATCAAAGTTTAAATTAGAATTACTTTGTGCTATAAATTTCACAGTGACACAACAATGAATGCTATTTACCGTGGATAAATAGAGACATAATTCTAAATTCAGATTTAATTTATACATTACAAAATGAAGGCAATTCAAAAAAGTCTTCTTTTTAAGGAAAATCTATTGAGATGCTGCAAGAAAATGGAATACTCTAAAGGAAAGAATCTTAATAGGTTTAACATGGATTAAAGTGGGGGGATCAATTGAAAACCAATGATGCTTGAAAGAAACTTCAGCCATCTTTTTAAAATTAAGTCAGGTATTAGAAATCTTCAGTTACGGTGGCCTATTCAAGAGAGTGTGGTATTTTTACATTTTTTTTCAGATCAATTTTGTAATTTGACAGAATTAAAGAAATTACAAAGGAAATGTGCCATGAATAACCAAATAATAATAATAATACATGTATAACTTTTAATAGGCTCTCTAGTTACATGATACTAATTAATATTATTAGAGAGTACATTTCACAGTTTAATTAGTGGGAAACAGACAGCACTTGGAAGGAACAGGTCAATGAATTTAGGTCATAGTGAAACACAGAAAGTAAATTACTTATTTCTGTTTGTTAATAGGTATTATATAGCAATAACATTTAACATCTTTGCAAAGATATCTTAAGTTCTACTCAGAATAGAAAAAAATGACTAGATGTGTTGAGATAAGCTATGCTATATGTAGACAAATATATACGCATCTATGTAATAGTATATTAAGAAACACAATGTATCTCTCTTATCCTAACACCATGATTTGGCAAAGAGCAGATTGTTATCAGCATTAAATTTTCATATACTCCAGATCTAGGAGATGATGACACTGTATCATTAAATAAGCTATTCTATTCTAAGACATCAATTCAATTCATCCTAGGTGCTGCAATAAAAGTAAATAGGAATGTGAGAAGATTAAAATAGAAAATTTAAACAACTAATTTTTATATCACAACTGGATACTTTATCTTTTGTCTTAGGTGTTGATTGTTCAACCAATCAAAAAGAGAAGCATAAGATCTTAACTCATTGGAAGTGTTGCAGAATACCAGTGAGGCATAGTTTTTGTCTTTTAACTAACATATAAGAGTTTTCTCTCCACTTTATATTAAAAAGTTTACTTAAAATTTGCTTATTAAAAAGTATATTTAAAAGTTACCTTGACCTCTGCAGAAGGTCCCAGTGAAGCAGAATTCTTAAGATGAGGAAAATGGTGCCTTGTAAAACCAGTTGTATATATATCCATCCCAAGAAATTCATCTCAAAGGGACTAACATAGGAATCCAGGCCAAAATTATGGGTCAAGTCATATTTGATCTGATTATAACAGAGTTCAATTAATCCCTGACCCAGACAGAACTGAGGGAAAATTGTAAAGACCCACTTGAGTACTTCATAGATGTTCTGCAAATTCTGTATAATAAAAGAAAGATAAAAAGAGAATAAAATAAATTAAAAGTTTGTCTGAACTTCCACTTCTCATTACTGTCCCCAGTATTCTAGGTTTTCTTTATGCCTTTACTCAGTGTCATTAAATAAAGGGTTATTGTGGAGTCTTAAGATCAAATGTTTTTACTTTCTAAGATTTGGGACTTGCTTATAATCCCTAATCCCTTTTTACCAATAATTTCTCCCCTGGATGTAATTTTTCTTATTCTGGATGTATTTTTATATATATTTAATTATATAATGGAAATGTTTATCCTTAGTCTGTCCCACAATTGTGTTCTGAAAGGAAAAATCAGTTATCTGCTTTCACAGATTTGCAACTATATAGGAATTTAACTTCTGTTTGGATTATACCTCAATTATATGTATTATACATTAGCTATATGTACTATAGTTGATACTAAGTAAAGCTTTATATAGTTAATACTTTACAAAATGAGACTTTGGGGATTGTGGGAATAAAATCAATCTGTTCTTATTGTGAGAAGGACATGAATTTTGCATGGGCAGTGGTGAAGTACTATGGAAATTAGATGTTACTTCCCATTCATATGTAAAACCCTACACCCTACTGTAGGGTTTTGATATAATGGATGGTGGGGCTTTGGAAAACCATTGGGTTTTAATGAGATCATAAAGGTAGAGACCCAAGATTGAATTAATCTCCTTCTTTAACCAAAGATAAACCGTTGTTTTGTCTCTTTGCCATGTGATTCTGCATTGAGAAGGCAATAGTCTTCAACCTAGAGTAATCATCAAAAATAATGATTTTCAGACTTCCAACTTTTATTATTGTGTAAAAATATGTTGCTTAGACTATCTGTATTGCTCTGTTATAGCATCACAAACTAAGGCACATAGATTATATTAATAATCAAAAGATATTAATATTCAAATCAGTGGTCAATAGAAATTATGACTATTAGTATGTAAAATACAGAATCCATAATAACTACTTACCATGTGGTAAATGTTAAGCATATGTTATAATCATTAAACCTTAGAAACATTATAAGAATGAATATGAGAGGGACTAGAAAGAGATGAAATAGGAAACAATTTTAATATGTTTCTGTATATGGCAGGTTACATATTTCAACAATACAACTTCAACATTCAGAGACACAAAAACAGTGTGTTCTGGTGAGAACTTGGGGATGCATGCTTTGTATTCACAAGACCCTAAAGTGGATGCCTGGCACTGCATGCCCTTTCCGTAGCACCACCATGTATAAATTTATTTTTATTAGTGAATTAAAAAAATGAGGCGCAGTTGTAGACTTAAAAACTTTCAAAACTTTAGTGCTTGGGTTTCAGTTATATAATGATCGAGTACCCATCCGTCCATCAGTGCCCATTCTACACCACCCATGATCCCAGTAGCCCACCCACCACCCCATCTCATAATCCCCCCCCCCCCCAGCAACCTGCCTCTGTGACAGGGCATTCCTTTTTGCTCTTTCTTTCCTTTAGAATGTTGTAGTTTGTAATAGAGGTATTGAGTAGCCATAGTGTTGGGTCTATAGTCTACTTTCAGCACACATCTCACATCCCGAGCGAATCCTCCAAACATCCTTTACTTGGTGTTCCCTTCAATATCTGGTGGGAATGCTGACTGGTTCAGCCCTTTTGGAAAACAGTATGAACTATTCTCAAAAAATTAGAAATTGAGCTTCCATTTGACTTAGCAAGACCACTCCTGGGAATATATTCCGGAGAGGTAAAAAAAGTACAGTCGAAATGACATCTGCACTTCTACGTTGATTGCGGCACTGTTCAAAATAGCCAAAATTTGGGAAAAAAACTGAGTGCCCAAAAACAGATGATTAGTTAAAGAATCTTTGGTACATCTACACAATAGAATACTATGTAGCTGTTAGAAAAGATGAAGTCATGAAATTTACATACAAGTGGTTCTACATCGAAAGTATGCTAAGTGAAATGAGTCAGAAAGAAAGGGACAGACACAGAAAGACTGCACTCATCTGGGAAATATAAAGTAACAGAATGGGAGTTGAACAACAAGAATAGTTGAGATAAGTACCAGGAGGTCTGCTCCACGGCTTGGAAGGCAGCACGATGTATAGTTTGTTTGTTTTTTTTTTAAATTTTTATTAGTGAAACACCATGAGGTACAGTTGTAGACTTACAAATTTTTGTGCCTGGGTTTCAGTTATACAATGATCAAGTACCCATCCCTCCACCGGAGCCCATTTTCCACCACCACGGGTCCCAGTATCCCTTCTACCCCCATCCCTCCCATCCCACCCTGCCTCTGTGGCAGGGCATTCTCTTTTGTTCTCTCTCTCCTTTTGGGTGTTGTGGTTTGCAAAAGAGGCATTGCATGGCAATCATGTTTGGTCTATAGTCTATTTTCAGCATGCTTCTCCCATGCTGGGAGGATCCTCCCAAAACCCTTTATTTGGTGCTCCCTTCTCTATCTTAGCTCCCTTTTCCCTTAGGCCTGTGAGCACTGCCTGATGTATCCTTGGTTGTTCCCAGAAACACTAAAGCTGAGCAGTACCACTCAGTGCTTGGTCTAAGTGCTAAACTAACAGGCATTGTTTGGCTAAATATTTATCACTAGAAATGGTGTCTTGATATCCTGAGCATTCTTTGGAAGGACCTCTCCAAAAAATAATAAACATCTTTCATGAATCGTATTATTAAATTTATCATACAGTTTTAAGGAGTGATAGCACATTGGTAAGGCGTTTGCCTTGCACAAAGCCAACATGGCCGACCCGAGTTCAATTCCTCCGCCCCTCTCGGAGAGCCCGGCAAGCTACCGCGAGTATCTCGCCCGCACGGCAGAGCCTGGCAAGCTCCCCGTGACGTATTCGATATGCCAAACACAGTAACAACAAAGTCTCCAATGGAGATGTTACTGGGCCTGCTCGAGCAAATTGATGATCAACAGGAGGGCCTTTGTATAGTTTATTTTGTAACTATATTAATTTTAATTTTTATCATTTTAACTGGTTTTTAAATTAAATATATATAATTCTGGTCTTCTTCCTCCCCCAGGTCAGTCGATATTCAAACCCAGGACTTGGCTTTCTCCATGTACACACTCCAGGCATCCTCTAGGACCATGGGAATCTCACCATCTCTGAGCCTCTTCCTGTTCCATCCCAACGCTATGCCTGGTCTTTTTCCTCCCCCAGCTCAGTCAGTATTCAAACCTGGGTCTTGGCTTTCCCTGCATCAGTAATTCACTCATACACAGCAATCTAATTTAACATCGCAGTCTCCATACCTCCACACCAACATGAAGAAACAACGCAAATCCCCACCACGAGGGGAGGACGATGAAAAGAGTCCGGAAGCCTCTGTAGGTGCTATTCACCTAAGGGACTTCTCTGAGAAAGAATTCATATATGAAGTAATGAAGATGTTCAATGAACTCAATGACACAGTGAGACAGATATCAGGTAATTAAAGAGGATATGAAAGAAACAATCAAGAAAATATGGGAAGAAATGAGAGCAGAAATTGAAAAGCTATGCAGAAAAACTGTCACGAATAAAATATTTGGTAGATGAAATAAAAAACTCACTCTGTGCCCTCTACAGTAGAATGGCCACAGCTGAAGACAGAATCAGGAAGCTGGAAGATCAGCTGCATGAAACCAATAGGCAACAATAAACAATGGCAAGAGAACTCAAAATAGTTCTAGAGCGAATCAGAGTCCTAGGAGATGATTCCAAGAGGAACAACATTAGAATCATTGGACCACAAGAAGGTCAGGGCAAGAATCCCAGTGAAAAAGCCACGGTTAAACAAAACATTGCTGAAAAGTTCCCAGAGATGGACAATGCCATTCAGATTTAAGGAGCCCGAAGGGTGCCAGCTAAAAGAGACCCTAACAAAAGCACTCCAAGACATATCACAGTTAGAATAATAAATGCAGGGGATAGAGACACAATACTAAAAGCAGCAAGGTCAAAGAAAGAAATCACATACAAAGCCGCTTCCCTTAGATTCACAGCAGACCTATCAGAGGAACCCTCCAAGCCCGAAGGCAACGGTGGGAAAAAACTCACTGAAATGAACGCTTCACCAAGAATACTCTATCCAGCTAAACTCTCTTGACTTCACAGCTCAAGACCTTAGAAAAGGATCAACAGAAAGAGCCCAAATCAGGCAGAAGGAAAGAGATCATAAAACTTAGAGCAGAAATCAACGACATGGAAACCAAAGAAACAATCTGAAAGATCAGTGAAACCAAGAACTGGTTCTTCCAGAAAATAAACAAGATAGATAAAGCACTGGCAACACTCACAAAGAAACAGAGAGAGCGAACCCTAATAAAGCGAATCAGAAATGGGAAGGGGGATATCACAACAGAAACCAAAGAAATTCAAAAGATCATCAGAGACTAATTTGAAAGTCTGTATGCCACAAAACAAGAGAACCTAGAAGAAATGGATAAATTCCTGGATTTCTATCATCTCCCAAAGCTGAATCAAGAAGATCTAGAGTACCTGAATAGACCTATTAACATCAAGGAAATTGAAACTGTAATCAAAATTTTTCCCAAAAACAAAAGCCCAGGTCCAGATGGATTCACTAACGAATTTTTCCAAACATTTAAAGAGGACCTATTTCCATTTTTTCTCAAGCTTTTCAAGGAAATTGAAGAAACAGAAACTCTCCCAACAGTTTCTACAAAGCCCATATCTCTGTAATACCAAAAGGAAACAAAGACACCACAAGAAAAGAAAACTTCCGGCCAATATCCCTGAGGAACACAGATGCGAAGATTCTCAACAGGATATTAGCAAATAGAATTCAACAACTCATAAAAAGCTCATACACTATGACCAAGTGGGATTCATTCCAGGGATGCAAGGATGGTTTAACATTTGTCAATCAATCAACATAAACAATCATATCAACAAAAGAAAAGATAAAATCCATATAATTATATCAATGGATGCAGAGAAAGCATTTGAAAAGAT